TGACGGTGAACTCATGAACTTAATTACACTGTGTACATATATGACTTCCTCATTCGGCTTCCACTCATCGACTTCCATTACCCCACTAACTCCTATTCAAAAATCCTACCTAACGAGACGTCCTTCTCGAATGAACCATTTGTTTAGTTCGTAAGCATAACTACTAATTAAGAGAAATACCTTCAAAACAAATAAAGAAATTGAAGATGAGCTCAGAAAACTTCAGAATAACAAAGATAAATACGGATTCAAATAAACAAATAATTATTATACGGTATGCCGATCATAACAGTCGGAAGTACAGAATTTTGTGGAATGACTCCACACACTCGCTGCCTGTTTACATCTACACCGACAGCTCTATGGGATTACAGTAAGGGGGGATGCACCGCTGTGTGCGGTGTTGCGTGGAGCTCGCTGAAGCTGCATTCGTCATTAATTACTGCAGAACTCTACGGCATTCTTTGTGCCCTTGCCATTGCTGGAGAACGCACGCGCATGGAGATATTCATTCCCTTGGTGTCATTCTAACAATTAAAATCTACAACTCTACGCACCCTCTTATGGCCACCACGCATCAATGGCTAATCCGGCCCTCTACACGCCAAAGGACAATAACTTATGTTGGGCCCCTATTTATGCTCAGATAGCTGGCAAAGATGCCGCAGATGAGCTTTCGCACAATGATGCGGTTGAAAGACGCCATCGAAGATCATCGTCCACGGCCGACCCACTCAGTATGGCTCCACTTTACCCGGGCTCGAGGAAAACAAGATTATCATCCTGTCCACGTTTGCGCAATGAATAATATGCGTTTAAAAATTACTTTTTAAAAACAACATTTCTATAGAGGCCAGTGTCTCTGATTTTACACATATACAATGAATTTCTTATTTTATTTTTAAATATTTAAAATATTTTTATATTTTTGTTTTTAATATGAAATTTTTTTATTTTTTTAAATTATTCATTCTGTCAATTGATTCATGCATTGTCTCCAACTTTACGCAAGTGTGCAAAATTTCAGATCGATTGGAGCGGTAGGAATGTGTTGAATATCGATTATAAGATTTGTAGCAGACAGACAAACAAGAAGTGAAGTTAAAGAGAAGTGTTGTAAAAAACCAAATGAGCCACATAATCAATTTTTTTTTGTAATATCACTCCCTCGCATTGAAACATCAGGATTGAAAAATCAAGCATCTATCAATAAATGCATAGTTTTCCTCTGTACCTAATAATTAAAACTTTTGTTTTCCTGTATACTTAATTCTTGAAACGTTTTCCTCTTGTCCCAAGATGGATTAAATGGCCTATAATCGGAGGCTGACTATCGGCCATTCAGATAATGCTATGCAACGTGGCAAAATTGTTAATTAGACTATTGGACGAATTTGCACACGTTTTCAGTTAAGTTTTATTCAATGATTTATTCTATTGGCGATAAGCTTCGATAATGTTTCTGACAAAGCCTGAAAATCGCGATATTCTGTATTAGTTCAGAGCATTTTTGCTGTCGTTATCCATTCATGTATTTTTGTCGATTTTTTCCCGGAATGCTGCCATATTTTGATTCACTATTGTCTTATCTCATGATACGTAGTGAATAATCGCGGTACTCGAATACGTGATATGATTTTTATTCTTCACGTTACAGGTGATTATTTTTCTTTATTGGTGTTGACCCCATAACTAAACGAATTATTCACTGACGCAGCTGCAGCCATGTTTTTATTATATGGGTCGTCAAGAGCCAAATTGAGAATCAAACCAATATCATTCTTATCAAGTCGATATAATTAGGAGCCAAGCAGGTGATCCCGACGCTATTAAAGATAGATAATCTCTGAACTTTCTCAATCTCTTCATAAAATTTTCGTTCGAGGTATCGTAATCCATTACAAATACAACGAGAATAAATAGGCTGTGCGAGCACGTATCCACAATACTTTTTTGCGTTGGAATCTTATCGGCATCTGAAATCGGTGTCGCAGAACTATCATACCTTGTATTTTCCAATATAGGGAACAGTAGGAAACAAAGGGCTCGAAGAAATATAGAGAGAAGCAAATTGCAAAAATCTTTTCGAGTTGGGATTTACCACATATTTAATATACAATCAGGCGGGATTTCTTCAGACGAATCGTAGAACTGAAAAATCAAATGGTGTAAATGTCAAGCTCCATTATCCAGTTACACTTACCTTTGGGGTAATAAGGCATGTAAATTTTCGTGATATACTGCACCATTAATTTATACGTCTCAGAGGGAGCAACGGTTGCGGTAATAAGTCTTAACATCCTATTGACAGTTGTCCACCATCTAGCATGACGCATTATTCCAGAATATATTTCGGTCAAGTTTTCTTAACAAACCACAGAATACATCGTAAAGAATCATGAAAAGATACTTTTGAGCTAGACTCGAGATGCCTTTGTCAGCTAAATGTTTTGACTCTGTATTGGATCAAATTATTCAACTTTTTTCAGCTTATAGGCAGCCAATTGTTTGCCGAATAGTCAGCCGATTAAATCGTGAAAAGATACTTTTGATCGGTACTCAAGATCCTCTGTCAATTTTATGTTTTAATCCTGTAGTGCTTAAAATTAAATGATTTCTTTCTTTTTATAGTCGGCCCATTGTTTGCCTGTTGTGCGTGTGAAAATAGATGGTTCTGTGGTTCTATTGCTTGAATAAAATGTTTAAAGGAAGCTTGTTTGCTTGTATTGACACACAATCCAATGCAGCCCTTGCGTTGTAGCCATTTGCTGCAACTTTTGATGTATCAATAAACTCCTTTAGGAGAAAGGAAATCTATTCAACTTGATGCAATGCAAGTATCAATGTCACTCGATCGTTCAAGTCGCAAATTCACAAGACGTCTATAAGCCAATCCGAGCAATTTTAAAACAATTCACCATATCGCCACAGATGAAACGTTTCAGAGTGCAGCTCCATCAGTTTGAGAATACTAGAATACAGATACAATCAGTTGATAGCACAATAAAAGTTCAAAGAAAACAGAAGGTTGAGCTTAAATTTACACAGAAAATATACATAGCAAAATATCACACACAAAATCAATCTATTGTCAATTCAAAGTGGATACGAACTGAAAGGTTGCGTTCAAACGGTTTAAAAACTTACAAGAATTCTAAAACCCGTAAATTTGAAATACCATAGTAGAAGAAATCACTATCGAATATTGGTATGTTACACTGCTCAGCGTGAGTGCGCACAGCCGAATGAGGGAAGGGCGCTAGGAAATGTCCAGTTCTACAACTCCTTTCCTTATGCACTGAAAATTCAAAATTGAGATTGTGATTCATAATAACGTACGCAGATGCGCATCGCGCACAACTGTACTTTTAAAGTAGAGACGACCGCACATCAAAGAAAGAATATCTTTTTACCCGAAGAGAGCCCCTATTTTAAAATTATTCATCAGCAAAACAAGAACATTATTATTGGAAAAGTATTTGATGAGCAAAAATTCTTAATTAATTATTTGGAAATTGTTTTGGATGCAGGGCCGAAGCATGGAAAATATCAACAAACGACGTTCCAATATAGAGCTCGGAACCACCTCAATGTATCACAAGTTTGGACAATTAAAGATTGGAATTACCCAATTCGTAATACTGATCTGAACAAAACAATAAGGTCTAAAATTTACCACGCACAATTTTTATTTTGTTTCAAAATATTTCCGAACTTTTGTGACACCAAGCTCCGAAAAGTTAGGAAGACGAATCACATAATGTGCAGCGACTGCACAGAGTTGAAAGTCAAAGCAACTTCTGGCCGATAATGTGTGACGTCGGCAGAGTTATACAGAACTTAAATCTTGTTATTAATTTTAGTAAATTATCCATGGTTCGAAGAAACTTAAAATTGGTACACTTGACTAAAATTTCGAAGCTGTAATTACCACGTTAGCAGTGGTTAATGTTACCAATTTATCAATATATCTTAAATTGAAGAAGTTGTCGCAAAACGTATTTAGTGGTTAGTAAAAAGAGTTTCTCAATCAAGTTAGGCAGCTAAAGAATCATAGAGGAAACACGCAAATTAATCATTTGTTAATTTCATCATCAAACACAACAAATTTTTTCCTAGTTCTCAAATTATTCAATTTTTGCTCACTATTTTTGTGGATTTACTTTCGTGAATAAGTACCATGACCATCAAACACAACTAATTTTTTTCAAAGTTTTCAGATTATTCAATTTTTTGCTCACTATTTCAGTGGATATACAGTACCCATGTAAATAAGTACCATGACCAACATTCTGCCAAAAATTATATGTTTAAAAAATACACGACATCGACACCTTCATTTTGGCATGAAGGTGTCGATAGCTGTTGATTAACGAAAATAATAATAAATCAATTTAATAAATAATCCTACTTTTTCTCGATCAATTGATCTTGAGAGTATTTAAATAAGTAAATTTTGATTCAAATTCTCCACTTATTTGTCTGACAATTTTTTATGAAATAATTAGATTTCAGGGCGAATCTACTTTTTCCATCAACGCCCGTCGATTGGCATGTGTATTGCGCTGATGAACTGTAGTGCCAGGAACGAATTTCATTCGGCACTTGAAACTCATTACTATTCGCAAATTCGTCCTTTTGAATATGACCTTGAACTCTCTCGATTTAACCAATTTCTTTTATGTTTTGATTGATGTCCGATTGATGGCGAAATATTGTGAATCTAATTATTCATCGCGATCCTACTTTTTTAAGTTTTTTTCTCTGGTCTGGATTACAGTGTTCCAGCGTAGTCTGTGGATTCTAGCTCTGTGGCGAGTAGAGTTATTGCATGCTGGAGCTGGGCGTTGGCTCTAGGACTTAATTAAGAGTTAAATTTGTCGTCCATGGCAGCGACCCCGGAAAAAGCGACGACCAGACAGGGAAGAATGAGCGTACGGCTGGTCCAAGACACCACTCCGCAGATTAAATCGTAGGATAGTTTTATTCGACGCGGGAGCGGCACCACAATCATGCGGGTTGCCACGCTGAATTGGGCACGGAATTCTTGCGCAGTAAAGTGCTTATTGTTTTTGCTTATCGGATTGTTTTCATTGATCAGCTTTTACAAGTCTGTGCAGCACTTTCAACTGATCAACTTCGAGACATGGCCACATGGGGATGAGGGTAAGTAAAATCGCATTCAACTCCAAACCCAATGGTGGGTATTGAAGGAAATAATCAATGCAAAGTTATCGTAATTTTAAAATTTAAATTATGGCCGAATTGGATTTTCTAATATTTTGAAGAGATTTGGAAGATTTAGAATTCGGGATTGATATGCATTATACACAAGTAAATCTCTCAATTATTAGTAATTTTAAGTAGATTTATTAGAGAAATGATTATTCGATTTATTTTTTGAATTCTCTGTTCTCCGCAGTGATGACTGCATGCAGCCAGCCATCACTGCATATAGAGTGCCATGCATTTAGACAGCGCGCTAATGCACGCCACTCACAGCCTCAGCTGTCGGGACTATTAAGCATTGATGCAACGCCAACCGATGGCCCTAATTAGGCGCCAAACCATCTTTAAATTCCATCCCAACCGTTGTACTGATGCAACATCGACGAGACGTGGATAGGCATGCAGCCTTTTATATATAGGAATACAAACGCTTTTAAACCGAGTAGAAAGCTCCAGCTGCTTTATTTTAAATGGTTGTAACATTGCTAGCTCCCATTTTTTCCATTCTAATTTTTATCATATCTATTGAAAAAGATATCAAGTAATTTGTTCGTAAAAGTTTTCATTATTTTTTCACAATCTCAAGATTTTTTTTAGCCTTGTTTATTAATATGCGTCCATGGAAGCAGTTAGTGGAAAATTGAAAATCATGCCGAACATTTCCACGGAGCGATAGAGTGAAGGAATTCAGTTATAATTGCAAGGTGAAGGCCGAACTTCAAATATATATAATCCATGCTAAGAACGCCTACAAAGTATATGGAAAACTCCACTTCCATGTTTGTGGCATCAGTATAATTTTCGCGTTAGTAAGCTGGTATTCACAAACGGTTCTTTAGTTTAACATGCAATATGTTTTATTTATAATGAAACATTTATATCATCTATAGCATACTCATAGCATAGCTTACTTATTTGTAGCATGTTCGATTGTTTTGTTCAGTGCCATTCAATAAAGAGGCTCTAAAATAATTTTCGAATTTATGTTTTGATTTGCATTTTCATCGATATTATCCAATATTTATGAAAAAATACTCATAAAAATACTTGATACTCATAAAAATTTTATGAGTATCGTAGAAGCTAACTATGTAACGTGAACTTATAGTATTTCGAGCTGAAATAACGATCAGTGAAATCATTATCCGAGGCAATCATGCAATAGTTCACGACGGAGATCGGGAAAATAAAACAAAAAATTTCATCTGATTAAATTAATTCATAAAGAAACCACATCACGCCAAGCCATTAATTATTAAACAATCCAGCACTCACGAAAATGAGCCTTACCATACATTTTCAAACTTCAAAATCGACGTCACTATGCAAATAATTCAAAGATTATGCTCTCTGGTGCAAATAAAACTTGTGACTGATGCACCGCATGATCGGTGATCAAAATAACGCGAAATCATCTCCGATGATTACGGTTAACGACTAATCAATGTCAGTAATTGCTTTTATTGCCACAGATTTCGTGGGTCTGGACGCGGATGATCCGAGATTGATCGATTACATCCGCCAACACGTCATCGTGCCTCCTTCTACCGAACCCTACAATTTGTATTATGGGATCAACCATAACCCTTCAGACGGCCAGGCGAAAGTTGTCGACGAACTATTTAACCATAAGGTAGTTTACATCTTCCTGTTTTTTGAGATATACTATTACAGTGACAGTTGGAAGTTCGATCTCCTTTGACATTTGAAACTCACGAGAAGTAATTTTACACAATTAGGTGTTCAGAAATGAACTATTTCTTACATGAAGCTGTCCAAAGGGCATTTGTTTTTCCAGAGACATTCAAGCTTTCTGAACTACATAACATAATAATAACTACATAATAACATAATCTAGTAATTATGTTAACAGCGGAATGGCTTTTACGTCGAGAGTGGAGGTTACACGGGTGAAGTGCTGAGCAACACTTTATTTTTTGAAATAAAACGAAATTGGACCGGTATCCTGATTGAACCGAACCCGAGGAACTTTGAAAAGTTATTGTCTAGGAAGAGAAAAGTGCACTCAGCTAAAGCGTGCATCGGAGAAACCAAATCAGCTGACAAGGTGAGTGATAATGACAAGGAAAAAGAGAACACAATAAAATGAGTCCTATCAAATAAATCAAAATTTTAAAATTGTCAGAATACGAAATAGAAGATCCATACAGTAATAGAATAGTAATAAGCTACCAAAAATATCAAGTAGTAATAGGCTATCAAAAATATCAAGCCTGCATGACTCAAAGTGTTAAAGAGCGCAGGACACCGACTTCCATATCCGACCAACACAAATCTCAGACGCTATTTTATCCCGCTCTGTTTACTATTTTTTTGGAGGTATTTCGCCATTTCTCGAAAACGTATACAGTGTAGGCGCACACTGAAGTATCCTGGGAACATTTCCAGGGAGCGTTTTAATTTTTGAGGAGCCACATCCCAACCGAATCATGACTGGAAATATCCATTTGCAATAGAAAACATAACATAATTATTTATATGTTTATGTGACGAACTGAGCTTGAATCATCGAACAGCCAATCGCGTTACCTCAAAAGTTCGGATGGTCTAATTGACACGTCCACCAATGACCGGGAATTAAATGCAACTTCCCTATTGGCCTGATAAGCAAAAGTTTGGTCCGAGCGGATAGATAACTCAAACAAGCGTTCTTAAATTTATTAGAAATAAACGGCAAATTAAAACGACGCAAATCACAACTAACAATTTTACAGAGGTGCGGCATATGAATTAAGCAAACTAACAAATTGAATGTGGAGGAAGCTAAAGTGTGAGGAGAGCAAAATGCGAGGAGAGAGCTAGAGCATGGAGATCTGAGAATAACGCACGATCCTACAACAGAAACCAAAAGTAAATACCTACAAATAAGAAATCAATATAATCACACAAATCACGATATTTCACCAAGTAATCATATTTAAATTTCACCACTACCGCACGCAACTCACCCTGGCATCTGAGTCAAAATCCTATAAAAAAGGAACCAGTATACAAGAAGGGATCGGCATCGTATCTTAAGGCTGTAACCAATTCAACGTCGATATCAGAGCCGGTCCTACTTAATCTGTGTGGTCTCACAGCAAGTAGTGGAAATTTGCATTAAACTTCATTACAGTTTATTTGACCTCATTGAAAAGAAATTGCCTTAGCATGAGGGAAATACTAATTCACGTTCACTCTGCATTAATCCTAACTTGATATTTTCAGGTTGTATTTTATAACCAAAAATATATTGGCAAGATATTCAATCCTCAAGATCCAAAATACCCAGGAGAGTCATTGGACCTGAGCAACGCAAAATGTTTCCCGCTGTACTCGTTCCTTCTCGCACTCGGCACCACCACCGTCGACTACTTCAGCCTCGACGTCGAGAGTTCCGAGTACAAGGTCCTGCAGTCTATTCCTTGGGACAAAATTGATATTAAGGTGAATATTTCGTAGTTGTTTACAATATTTTCTCAAATGTTTCAGTTGGATTAATGGATTACATTCAAATGCAGGATATATCCTATTAATCGTTATCTAACATGCGACATAAGTTCATTGATTTTGGACATACAGTTTAGACAAGTTGAAGTTCAAAAGTTGTACGAATTCTGCCGGCGATCAAAGATATCTGAAACTTTTCTTTAAATTTATTTCATGCAGACGTTATCCGTGGAGTACAACCTCATCCCAGAAGGAATGCCTGCACTGATTGACTTCATGAAGTCTAAAGGTTACATCTACTACATGAAATTCATCCGGCCTTATACACACGACCTTATTTTCGTCAAACCGGAAGTGTTGGATCATACAAGAGTCCAATACGGAGAACTGCCTATTCTGGATGTTAATAACACCATCAGTTGGATGACTCGTTCGAATTTTGAGTCATGAAGAGATAGTAGCAAGAAATATTTTCAACCAAGGAATGGAGGCAAGACAACTTACAGTCGCTTCTTGATTAGCAATTACGCTTGCATGGTTCATGATGAATATCAGAAATTTTATCAGGTCATGTAGGAAGAATCATTTTAGCAGTAACAATCGTTGATTAGTAAGTTTTAAGTGACATTTCGTATATATTAACTTGAAAATTTAAATGTTAACTAGTAAATTTAAAAATTAATTGGAAAGACTTTGAAAATTAAGTGAAATTAACGATTCGATCAAAAGATCAACTTGTGGAATAAACTTCAAATAATCGGCTTCATAGATGATAGGGCGTGAAAAAAGCCCGTGCAGCTCATCTGACTACACAGGTTTGCTTTTTTTTTTGCAATACAGTTAGTATATAGAGCACTGAGAATTGGTAACTAATCCACAACATTATACTGTATTTGACATTACAAGGTTTAAACTTACAATTGAAGCTTTCAAGTCGAATATGTCGCTACCGTTTCAAAACAGTTTCCAGGCGGCCGATGATCGAAAGGCAAGCGGTCGGCTGGAGCTGATAAGTTTTTGGTCCGCAGCTAAAATATCAACGCAATGACAACCAGCCAACGCAGAATATAGCATCGCAACCGATTGATGCGATATCTTCTTTCTAAAAAAATATGTAATCGGCTTCCGTTAAACGTATGGCTTGACACAGCAGGGGTTGAGGCTACTTGATAACATCTTATTCCATCCCTTAGTGCTCTGATACAAGGTGTAGTCTGAATCTCATTGCGTTCANACGCACAGTCTAGCACAGATGGCTGCCGTCGTGGCAACGGCCGATTGCCAATTATCACAAACGCACCACCGTTGCACGCAACCCGATACATGGCGACGGGTGAATATGATGGGTGAATATTTGCAGCACATTACCCCATTACACATTATTATCTCATTTCTAGTTAGCTTTTTGTGTTAGTGTTCCAGCAGTATGCAGGTTTGTTTAGGACTTTCGTTCGTATTTGTTCAAGTGTTTCTTTATACAGGTGGTGTTCAGAGCATGGGAGGAACACTTGCCCGGCGTTCCCATAAACAATCTACTACGCAAATATATCACGGCATTCAAGAATGTAATGAAATGAGCATTAGTAAATAATTATTCAGCAGCAGTCTCGGAAAATCATAAGAAAGAATACAGCGAATCTATTCCGTTCGAGGCAATAGTGAAGAAGGACATTTCATGAAGAAAATTCAGGAAAAACCTCATATTATGCCTCATCTCAGAAAGTTAGGAATTACACCGTACACTTTGCACTTCACTAAAAAACTTATGTCCAATGAAGTCTTCTCAGCTTTCCGGAGTAGGTCACAGTATTTTCTAAAACAGCGGTATTCATCTTCACCGTATTTTGATTGGATATAAGTATTAAAATCACATGTTTGCTTGAATCGCAAGTTAACCAGGAATTTAAAAGCAAAGAAAATACCACAAAAATTCACCATATCTTTATAGGAGAAAACGTTTTCTCTTGTAAAGATATGGTGAATTTTTGTGGTATTTTCTTTGCTTTTAAATTCCTGGTTAACTTGCGATTCAAGCAAACATGTGATTTTAATACGTAAATTTCGTTTATTGCCATAGATTTTTTAAGTCTCGAAGTTATCGACCCAAGACTGGTCGGTAACATCCACCAACACCTCATCGTACCTCTTATCTACCAAGCCATACAATTTTTATTACGGGGCCAACTACGATCCTTCAGATGGCCAGTCAGAGGTGATTGACGAACTGCTCAACCACAAGGTGATTAAGTCTTCCTGATTCTCTTTATATATTATTATAAGATTGCAAACTCTACCTAATTGACAGTTGCTGACAATTACTAAATTTTCGAAAAACGTACCTCCTCAGATGTATCATTATATCAAAAAGAGTTGATAGATGCACGACTTCTGATTGTGGAAGTTTCAATGCCGTTTGTTTTTCCCAAGCTTGAAAAAATAAGATCCAAGATGACAGAACAACAATTCATTCTTCGGAACAGCGTAACGCTTCTACGAACATGGCTTCATAGGAGAGTGGAGGCTTCATAGGAGAAGTGCATGAGCAACACCCTATTTTCTTCTAAATTGAACGACATTGAACCGGGATCGTGATAGAGCCAAACCAGAAGAACTTTTAAAAGTTATTATATGAAGTTCCATCCGGTTATGTAGGTGGCGCTACGAGTGTGCACTGCGAGAAGTTTTATGCACACTTCGAGTGGGCAATCACGGATGTTTAGTGAATTGAACTAGGAAAAGTTGAAAATTAAGTGAAATTTACTCCATGATCATATGATCAAATCGTAAGATAAACTTCAAATGATCGGCTTTATAGGGCGTAGAAGAAGCCGTGCAGCTCATCCGACTTAACAGATTTGGTTCTTTTCTGATACAAGGTTAGGAAAAGGCATTGATAATTGATAACCACTCCACAACATTATAGTGTCTTTTATATTATAAGATTTAAACTTACAATTGAAGCTTTCAAGTCGAAAATGTAGCTTCCCTTTCAAAATAACGGCCGATATTTCCAGGCGGCCGATGATCGAAAGGCAAGCGGTCGGCTGGAGCTGATAAGTTTTTGGTCCGCAGCTAAAATATCAACGCAATGACAACCAGCCAACGCAGAATATAGCATCGCAACCGATTGATGCGATATCTTCTTTCTAAAAAAATATGTAATCGGCTTCCGTTAAACGTATGGCTTGACACAGCAGGGGTTGAGGCTACTTGATAACATCTTATTCCATCCCTTAGTGCTCTGATACAAGGTGTAGTCTGAATCTCATTGCGTTCAGTAGCCAGACATTTCTATACTTCCAACCACACTCAGCCATCGAATTTGCACCTCGTTTGGTATCTTGAAATTACTCAGTTCCTCCGATGAGTCGGTGCGCGCTCTATCTTAATCCGACATGCTTCGCAATGTTTCATATGAACGCATTCTTTAAATTAACCACAACATGTCTCAATAACAACGGAAACCATTTTGTCTGGTTACATTTTAAAATTGTTTTGTACATGACATGAAACTCATAATAAATAAACCTGATACTGTCTCTAATCATCTCATTTGATCAAGGAATTCTGGATAGCCTTTTATACCTGATTTAGGCGTATTCTTCTGTGGTGTCTATCTAATGTAACTGTTGTGAGTTGTGACACGAAGTTCAAATATTATATATATTAATTTTTTATTTATATCACATATTTTGAATAATTAACTTGGTGTAGAAATTGCAAATAATGTTTATGGCAAATTTACTAATTGACGAAATCTCATAGAAGCCATGCAGTGCAGCCAGCCTGAGGCTTAGCTATGTACAGTCGAATTTTTGAACCTAGAATTTTCCCTCGTGCCGACCATCACATTAAAAAAATAATATCCCAGGGATTCCTGTTTGCATAATTAAAGTACCACAATAAATTCTTCTAAGTTGTTCATTTGTGAGTTAGTGAGGGAAGGGGGGAGATGTCATTAAATTTTTTTTGATGTAAAAATCCATATTGATAACTTGTAAAAATAGATTTCCAAACACAAAATGTTACAATCTGACTCTGCATGGAGCCTCCAATTGATGGCATGTTGAAATTCGATAGAATTGAAGTTTTTCATTTAGTGAGACATGATTTCGGTTTTGTAAATAAGAAAACCATAGATTTCTAGAACCAATAATGAGTGATCAGAATTTCGTCAAAAAATTTGTCTGCCTCTTAGTCTACTTAGAGGCCACTTTTCCGTATCTTCTGCTTGATGAAATCGTTGTTGTGGCTGTTGATGCATGGGATAGAGGATGGGCTGACTTTCCATAGCTCAACCCTGTATTATTCCTAAACATGAATAAATTTATTTGGTCATTAATTTTTAACACAAATTACTTCTATATGATATTTTATTTTTTTTAATTTTACTTCAACAACAAATCAGTTTCACTATAGATGCATTGTATTGAACTACAGAATGTCATCATCAATTTGTATTGTTATATTTCATACAGGCTAAATAGAATTTTTATGTTCGAAAAAGAAAAAGGCTAAAATAACTTTCTCATATAATTTTTATTTCCTGCACACGCGTGGCGTACGAGGTTATCGAGGAAGAAAGCCTCGCTCATGCTCGGGATGTGCTCCCAAACCTCGATGCTCATCGCCCAGTCCCACTTCCTTCCGAACCAGCTAGAGGCAGGAACCTCGCCGACTTCGCTGAGGTCAGCGTGTCTGATGAAGCCGCCGCTCATCTCTGCAATGGCGAAGTCCCCGTCAAAACCTTAACTAGCGTACCGGTGTTAGTGTTCATTAGGCCGTTAGACCTGTTGCCGATTCTGAAAATCGCATAATATTCACTGCTTATTGCGGTCTCGAATACGCAACTCACTGCTCCGATTTTGTTGTGCTGAACCGCTCGGCCTCCTCGTCGATTTGACCAGAACAGTCGGAGGAAGCTGGGATCGAACCCGCACTTCTCTGCTCCAGGCTTGATACTCCGACTGTAAGCACTAGGCCACCCTGCCTATCAAGTAGACTATCTTGACTGCTGAATTTAAACGTAATAATCGCTTTAATTCATTTGCTGTCAGTAGATAATAATCTACGGGTGAATAAAGTAACTAAAAAATTACCATAACTGGATTTGAAGAATATTTAAAAATTATTTATCACTACAAAAAAGTCTCATGAAGATATTTTACACGCATGATTTTAGGCGAAAATAAAATAAAAAGAAAAAAATTCATTATATATAAGTTCTAGGAGATTTCGGGCGACGCAAGCGTCAGTTATTTCCTAATATCAATCAACGGATCGAATCGGTGACTTTATTGAATTCCTCTAACACCGAACTACTTTCATAAGTACAATTTAAAATTAAAATTTTGATACTAGCTAAACTATCGTATTTAATTTTAACTGCAACTAGTATGATAGAAATAAATCAATTTTAGAGATCATGTTTAGAAATTATTGCGCTGGCCAATAAACACGCTTTAATAACTAATAATTCTGTATTCTGTAAACTGCACCATTCATTTACCATTAGAGGTGATTACATTAAATCATGGTGTAGCTGCGCTATACTGTTGTCTTTTGTTGACCGGGTTCCCGCTGTTAACGTTAGGAGATCGTTGCATTCACTCCGGGTCATTTTTAATGACCGGCGGTTGGGTGCTCGCTGAGGAGCATCTTGTGATTTTATTCGGGAAGAATTACCGTTTTCTGTCTCGTAATTCACATCACTCAATTCATTTCTTGTTGGCCTCACTCAGAGTGGCGGGTAAGCGTGTTAACTTGTACTCGTAGGATGCAATTTCTACAGTTGACTTTAGTTCACGCTGTTGGATTGAAGAAGGATATATCTAACAGTAGTTTGCTCGAGATACGCAGTGGAGATGTGAATGTGGTCAAATTGTCGTTTCCCTAACGTGAAATTGTTCGATATATGCTGGCTAACTCCACCATTGATTTTCTTACTGTGGAAGGTCAAAATTAAACTTATAATTTCTTGTATATATGGTGATCATTCCAGGTGGATGTGGGCGCCGTCGTTACCTCTCATTTTTTTACTTGTTCCCGTCGAAGATTTTCCTGCTGAAGCGGAGTGTTTGTAGGAAGAAAGCTTCCAGCTCATAGTTGGATACAAGCCTTGGTGACGGTGAAAAGTTTGTCGTGTAAAGTATAAACCTGTGGAACTGTCATTAGGTAGCCAATGACTGCGAGGGTTGCGTGAGTGAATCCGACGCCAACA